AGCTCGAGACACTTGATCAATCTGTTCTTTCGTACCGGTCAATCCAATCAACTTTGGTGAAAACTCTTGAAACATAAATAAAATCAATAAGATCCAATGCATTAAAAGGGGGTTAAAAAGTGAACCTGGTCAGAATTGCATAAAATGGAGACAGTACAGATGGCTTAATAAAAAGAAATGCTAAGATTACCTTTAACGTATTTGGCAATGGCTTCTTCATTGTCCCTCTCTGGATCAATGGTGATGAAGAGCGGAGTGACATTAGGCAAAGACGCAATACTATCTGTCATGATAAAAGATGATACTTAATCCCCAAGCAATCAGCCTCAAGACTGTTTTTATATACAAGATTTTAATTTAATCCCCTAGATTAAATTGCTTGATAATCCTGAACACAAATACCTTTTGTACCCCTTCCCAATCTGTTCAAGCCTATACATAGTCATCTTCCCAAGATGGGGATTTAAACTTTTTATTTTGGTCCACTTCGGGCAGGCCTTAAGGGATAAGCAGAATTTAGGGATATGATTATCTTCCCTGAATTCTCATATAAAATATTGGATGAAGGACAGAATGAGGATGAATTTTTACAGATATTGGTAGTCTCAAATCCACTGTACTCTTTGGACTGAATGCTGACAATACTGGCTAGGTAACATGTTGTTATGGTATAAAGTAAAGGTTAGAGTTAATGTACAATAAAAAGTATGATAAATGTACACAAAAAAGGTAGGATAAAAGGCAAAATCTGAATGATTTTTATGGTAGACTTAAATTTTAATTGAAGTTAGGATCAAGGTTTACAGCAAAGCATATGGCAAATATTTCACAGGTGATAAAGTGAGATTAACATTGAAATTCCTGGAACTCTATTCTAAAAATGTAAGATGAGGGTGTGTTGCTATAGACTTTGTTAGTCTTGCTCTGATATTAGTTAGTAAAGTTAGTGTCAATATTACCATGACATTAGTGTAAATATTAGAATACACCAACATCCATGATAAACCCAGTACGATGGTGAGTATGAATTCTTTAAGTTAAGAGTAGTTCTAACCTTTGTTTATCAGGTGTATTATCAAACTGAGAATTACTACTGTATTATTCATACTGGGAAATCTTTATGGTTAGGTTAACTCTTACTATCAAGTTAGTAAATTTAATTTGTTTAAATTTCATATGGTTTATAGTAAAAATAAATGTGATGAATAATATTATGCTGAGTTTATATTTAGTCTTACACTAACGTCAGTAGTCAGCCAAATTTGGGGGAAATGTTTTTTGGCACTAGAGTGAGATTACAGTAAGACTTCCTTAAATTCGATTCAAAAACAGCAAGAACATTAGGATCAGCGATAATTTATATGAATAATGGTAGCCTTATGATCATATTACAATTAGTATTAAGCCTTGGTGGGGCACTGATTAGAGTGCTGTACTGCAGGCCACTTCTGTTGACTATCAGCTGCCTGCAATTTGGCAGTTCAAATCCCATCAGGCTCAAGGTTGATTCAGCCTTCCATCCTTCCTAGGTGGGTAAAATGAGGACCCAGATTGTTTGGGGCAATATGCTGACTCTGTAAAAACACTTAGAGAGGGCTGTAAAGCACTATAAAGGGGTATAGAAGTCTAAGCGCTATTACTATTGCTATTAAATGATTGTGCACTAGTTAGGACAATTTATTTTTTAAAAATATTTATTTCATTTGACTGAGCAACTTATGACCTATAAAGTAAATTTGGAGTTAAACATCTTTGAAATCTATGTGGAAAACTAGTGTGATCGTTTGAATTTTTATGGTTAGTGGGTAGCCTTAGAGTTTTCTTCCATTTAATATTGAGCTTTTGGCAATGATTAGGCTTAAGCTTCTATTAAAGTCTAAGCAAAAACTAGCAGAAGGATGCAGTTGAAAAGTTTTAGTGACCAAGATGGGGAAAAAATTGCTGAAGTGTCAATTTAATTCAATCCAGCTGCAAGAAGATGCTTTTGTAAGATGATTTTATGGACAAAAAAAACACCCTGAGCTCCTATTACTAGTAAACATGACTCCTTTTTCTTGCTGTTTCTTATGCAGAGATTTTCCTTTCTAAACAAGTCTTTACTCTCCTACGCTATACATTTCCCTTTCTCCATGTTTCTGAATATAGCCAAGTTTTAATTGGTTGTAAAACCTTTCTACACAGATCCTTTCCTCCTTTACTTTGACCTCTCTCCCATCACCCGCTCTCCATTAGCTCTGTGGTTAAGAGGGAGTTTAAACAGGCCCAAATCATAAAAAGGTAATCCTGAGTCACAGTCATTTCCTGGTCAACTAAAGGATAAGCTGACTGTCTCACATAGAGAATTACTGCAGTAACTCTGGAGTTGGGTGGTGCTAAATCCAATCAAATTAAAAGTTCAGGTTTCAGCAGGATTTACTTACCAACTTCATCCACTGCTAGTATCATTTTTTCCAGTTCCTCTGGGCAAATGTCAGGGCAATGTGTAAAACCAAAGTAGATTAAAACCCACTGGCCCAGAAAATCACGGTCTGATTTCGGTTGTCCATGGTGATCAACAAGTGAGAAAGGGCCTCCTAACAAAGGCTTTCCAATGGATCGGACACTCTCTCTCTCCAATGCTAAAATTTGATCACAAAATTAGATTATCTGCCTAGAGCCTTGACGGAAGAAAATCTTAAGATTTCAACACAAATTCCTACACATACATTCCTAATTCTTCATCTTTTCTTTTCCTATCTTAGAGACAATTTAAAACGTGTCTCTTCTTAGAACCTTTTTGGGTTTGTTTTTGCTTCATCTATTTGGGGCATAAAAGCTTCCAGTATCTTTCAAAATCTCTGAAGAAAATGATTTAAGATCACTTGTATTCTCTCCTATTGGATTTAGATTCAAAGGCTTTAAGTAAGATAGCTCCTGATAGCATTTCAATAAATGTTTGTACATTTACTGTTTCAGCTGCTTTGGTGATTTTTGAAGCAACCGTTACAGCATCTCAATTTTATACCATAGCAGATATTTTATTGCTAGCATAACATAGAAGAGGAAAAAAACTTTAATATTTACGATACCTATACATGCGCAAATCAATTTAAGGTAAGGACAATAAGCAGAAGTAAAAAAAAAACATGACACATGTTCAGACATATCTCAGGGTAGTAAGGAACAATTATAATTATCAAAAATGTACACTTAGTTGTACCACTTCTTCATGTGCTTGGATGACAACTCTCAGAATTCCTAGCTAAACCCAACTCATCTGGAAACAACCAGTTTAGAAAAAAAATCAAAACTACCCAACAGTCACTACTGGTTATATATGCAATTCTTTGCACAATCCATCTCTACACGGCAATAATAATAATAATAATAAAAAAACAATAGAATGACCCACCTGCTTCTTTCTCTTTCTTCAAATATTTCAGTACCCCTAGCAACCCTCCTCCAATCACAGCCGTGACTGCTAAACTCTTCCAAGTTACTGGCTACTGGGAAAGAAGAGAACACAAAATGTTCATAAATAAATGCTTTCGTGCCAGTGGTGGGATTCTAAGTTTTTTACTACCGGTTCTGTTGGTGTGGCTTGATGGGTGTGGAAGGGGAAGAATACTGTAAAATCTCCAGCTAGAGGTGGTATTTTCTGGTTCTCCAAACTACTCAAAGTTTCGGCTACCAGTTCTCCAGAACTGGTCAGAACCTGCTGAATACCATCTGTTTCGTGCCAACCTGAGCCCATTTTTCATACCAGCGGTAATCGCATGACATCTCATGGTCCATCCTTACTTCTCCATGCGCTTTTAAATTTCTCCCCTATTCCGGGCTGACCCGGTTTATTTTCAGCCTGTATGAGGATAACCAAAGGCAACAAAGGGAAAGGAGGCGGAGGGGCCCCTTTAAGTCCACCGATTCACATTCACACGGATTGAGCAACTTCAGCAGGAGAGGCAATTCGGCCAAGTGTCATTTTTCCAGCTTCTCAGAAAGACCCAAGATCCCGACCGAAGCATCCTCTTTGGCCAAGAAAGTGAGGACAATTAACAATGAACTGTGAGGACAATATGAAGAACGGCTGCAGGATTTGGGTTTGGCTAGAGAAAAGGATTAGGGGGCACATGATAGCAGTGTCCCAGTATTTGAGAGGTTGCCATAAAGAAGAGATCAACTTATTTTCTAAAGAACCGGAGGGCAGAATAAGATTCAATGGATGGATACTCATCAAGGAAAGATGCAACCTGGAGAAACTGCCTAACAGTGAGAACAATTAACCAGTGGAACAGTTTGCCTTCAGACATTGTGGTGCTTGGTCACTGGAGGTTTTTAAGAAGAGACTGGGCAGCAATTTGTTTGCAATAGTATAGGATCTTCTGCTTTCGAGGTACAAGTAGAAGACTTCTAAGTCCCTTCCAGATCTATTCTGATTTAAGATTGAGGTTGCGCGCAAAGGTGCCCAAGCGAAGGCCTCTCCCCGTTACCCAGCGATCCAGAGCTCGCAGCATCCATCGGCTTCTCCCACCCTGACTTCTACAGGCGGAATGCCTCACCCCAGGTTTCTTGAAGCCCTTCTGCCTGATCGGGGGTGGGGTGACCAGGGACCGGACCGGACAGCAGCGCAGGAAGCAACACGGTGGAAACATTTGACGCTTGCAAAGGGCGAGCGAAAGCAGACGAACCCGCATCGCTCCCGCCATCCTCCCTTCCCGGAGTCAACGAAACAGCACGCCCGGCTTGAATTTCCGGGACAGACCGGCGTCCTGGCCCTGCATTGGCTTCAAGACTGTCACATGGCGTCCCGTAGACTTCGAGGTCGGACGGGGCGTGTGTGTTTCCTTTTAGGCTCCCTATGGTTTGCATGAAGAAGCCGGCCCCTTTGAAATCCAACCCTTGTGGAAGTACGTACTGCTCCTCGTTCGCTTGTCTGATCGAAATCACAATAGACGGACAAAGGAATCAAGGCGTCTTTGGAAATTATCAGTCGAGGCTTTTTATTATTATTCTTTTTCTCTTAGTGGGGTGGTGATCTTTTTCTAAATTGTTTTGAACAGTAATAAAATTGGTAAGAAAGTTGGAGGAATCCCAACTTTTCATTCCGTGTGAAAACAAGTGGATTACCAGATCATTTTTCAAGCGTTTTCATATTGGAAAAAGTCACCTTTTCAACTTAAAAAAGAAAGCGTGGGGGTAAAAAAAACCCAGCTACATCCACCATTTCCAACCTGCCAAGAATGAAGGCGATCTAAAGCCCAGTTTCCAGCCTTTCTCGATTCCCACCCAATTTACCAATCGCCCACTTCCGATCGGAAAGAGAGAGAGGAGATCACAGGAAGGGAAAGAACCGGGGACGATCTCTTCGCAGCATTTAAGAGTCGCTCCCGCTACGCTACGCTACGCACAGATTTTATAGTCATAGCTCTATGGCGAAGGAAAGGAAATGAAATCACTTCCGTCGGCATTTTAATACCTTTTTTTTAACTGGGAAAAAGAAACACACCTTGAAACGTCAAGCGACTTCACAGATCGCTTGCATCCAAAGTAACCATGCTTAGGTTGAAATGCAAGACTAACCGAAACATATGTGCGGATGGCTAGTTGGAAATCTTCAGGTTCATTCTTGGAAAATGTAAGTAATTTGTAGCGCTTTTGACCCAGAGGGTTTTCCTATTCTGTTGCAGAAAAGGAAAACAGTTAAACGGAAGAAAAGTTCCTTAGTTAACAACAAATCTAGGTTTGAGATCTCTTTAAAGAAACACCCAACCTAGTATTTCCCAGGATACTTACAACTGCCACAATCCTCATTCATCATGGCTATGCTTGTCTGGCAATGATGAAAACATCTGGCGATGATGAAATTCTAGACCTAGAAAACTAGAACTACACCACCTTCAGTCTGATCTAAGTATAGTATATAAAATCATACATTGCAATGTCCTATCTGTCAATGAATACTTCAGCTTCAACCATAACAATACAAGAGCAAACAATAGATACAAACTCAAGGTAATCCACACCAAACTTGATTTCAGGAAATACGACTTCAGCAACAGAGTGGTCAATGTTTGGAATACTCTACCTGACCCTGTGGTTTTTTCCCCAAACCCCCAAAACTTTAACCTTAGATTGTCACCCCTTATTGACCTCACCCCTTTCCTAAGAGGTCTGTAGAGGGCATGCATACCATTGCTGTCCTATTGTTTCTTTTTATTTTTCTTATATGTATCCATTTCATGTATTCTTACTCATATTTATACTTATACCTATTATCTTGTAAGCAATTGACAAATCAAATAAATAAAACATATGTCTAAAGGTTTATTATAACAGTCATACAGTCAGCCAGATGTTTGTACTGAATTTGGCATTTTCTACCCACCTCTCAATCTGGTCTACCAAGGACCTGGAATAAGCAGACGTTTTTTTCCATGGTACTATATTGGAAGACATAGCATGACAGTATGCAATCATATTAGCTATAAGTTATTAGCAACCCCAGGCTTTGATAATGAAGATTGCATACATGAAGACTGCATACATGTGTATTTACCCACGGTAGAAGTAGAATTATGTTCAGTTGCTAGTGATTCATGCTATGGCAATATACTTTGCTATTCTCTTTTTCCAGAATAATGTACAGCTTTGGGTTTCCAGACTAGTCCAAGGCTTCGATCTTTTTTAGATCGAATATTTTATAGATAAAATATAAAAACAAATAATATGAAAAATAGGGGAGGAAAAAGGGAAGGGAAAAGTGTAGAAAAGGAAAAAAGAAAGAAAAAATAATTGATTTCCGATTACAGAATATAATAACATTAAGATTCCAACTTTTTACTTGGAAATAATATTATAAACTAGCCATTTCTGTATCAACAAATCTAATCAGTTAAACACAAAATCAACATTTCATTTTTTCCCACCTCAGCTTGCTTCCAACAAGCGAAATCAATGGGAGAAGTCATATTTCCTAACGACTGCATGATTCACTTAATGACAGCAAAAATGTCATAATATCAGGCATGACTCACTAAACTACCTGTAGTACTGCTTCTTAGCTTGGCCATGTAGTAATAGTGAGTGTTGTGTTCTTAATAGGCATATGTAGACTTCTGCTGAATATAGTTTTCCCAGTCTAAACTACTGGGTTGACAGAATACAAATGGATAAGATGGCAAGCAGTTACTTATATACATCTGGGAGAAAAAGAACTGTACATGAATGCAGTTTTAATTTGTGCCATTTAAAATACGTTATATTTTCATGAAATACAATTTGCTGAAAAGATCATCAGGTCTATCAAAAACTGTAAAGCATTCCTACAGATTTACATGTTATCCCAGCAGATTTACCATCCAAACAATTCATCTGTTCTTTTCTTCCTTCCCTTAGTTCTCAGCAAGAGTTTTTTGCAAAATGGATGCAGGATCCACAAGAACAACATCGGAAGCGCTCTTCTCCTTTGGACTCATAGCAGACATTCAATATGCTGATATAGAGGATGGCTATGATTTCCTGGGATTCAATAGGAGGTATTATAAGCATAGCCTATGCTGTCTCCAGAAGGCAATTGACGATTGGAATCGAACTGAGGTTCAGTTTGTAATACAGCTGGGAGACATCATTGATGGCTTCAATGCCAAACATAAGACATCAGAGAAAGCACTGCAACAAGTTATGAAGGAATTTAAGAAACTCAGTGCACCAGTCCATCACATATGGGGCAATCATGAATTGTATAATTTCAGCCGGAATTATCTTATGGAATCTGAACTGAATACCAAGTGCTTAGAAGACCAAAGTTTGTTTAATAACTTTGTCAGAGAACAGAGCTCCACAGAAAACCCAACTACAGAGTTCTATTATGCTTACCAATTTTCTCCAATGCCTAAATTTCGATTCATTCTTCTTGATGCATATGACTTAAGTATTCTGGGGAGGGAAACATCAACAAAAAAATATAAAGAATCTCTACAGCTGCTACAAGACAAAAATCCGAATGAAAATCTGAATAGTCCACTAGGTATTATATTCTGTTGAACCTAATTGTTGTACATTTTTACAGTCATGGTCTGTGAAAGAGCTGGTTTTGTATGGATGAAAAAAAATTGCTATTAACGAATATGAATATACCTTCATATATTCTTTTAGGGAACTTTTAGGGAGTTTTAGGACTCATGTTAAGTCTGTCAATACCAAGTTTTATGATAATCTTAACATGAACCCATTTATTACAAGGTCATAAGTGGCCTTATTTTCTTGATATTCCTTTGAAGTATAGGACATGGACATCACCCCATAGAATCTTCATTTTTCAACTTTTTCACACAGAAAGTTCCACAAAATTAAGCTAGACAATAAAGTATTATGACACTTATATAATCTCTAATTAGGAAAGGGGAGGTAGAGCTGAATTTACTACCTACAAACATTGATGTGTTCTGTATGATTGCTGCAGTATTAATATGTTTCCAATTACACAATAATTTTTTTTTTTATGTAACCTGATTAAAATATCAATAGAGACAATGACATATTTCTACCTCCAGGAAACTCTTTAATTCCATTTTCTTCACTTACTAGGCTTAGTTTGATCCTTTAAAAAAAGCGAGGGATACCTTGCTTTTAACACACATTTCTGGAATTGGCAATTATTCATTAATTCTTCATAAAAAGTGCATTTCAAACTAAAAATATTGTTTGCGTGTTTGTGGTACTGATACATGACCTTAATAAAAATTGTTGCTGTTATATAACTTCCCATCATTTTTTTGACAGGGCTTGCTGAATGCAATTTTGTACAGTTCAATGGTGGATTCAGTCAAGACCAGCTGGACTGGGTTGATAAAGTTCTTACCTATGCTGATGAGAATCAAGAGAGAGTTGTGATTGCAGGTATGGCTGTATTTTTAATAATTAGTCTTAATATCTGTGGCTTTACCATTCTAACTAAGAATGCGTTCTCTGCTGGTTTGGTGTGTTTGCTGCCTGAACTGAACTGTGTATGTTTTCAATATTTCAAGTAAGGAAAGGAGATGGAAAGATCAAGAGATAGCAGACCAGTGGAATACACTTTGCTGGGACATCAGCAACAATTATAGTTAAAGGGGCAGAGAGAACATATCAGAAAAATTGGGGGCAGGCTTGCCTCTCACCCCTCCCTGGGAATTGCACAGTAGAAAATAGCAATAGTACTTAGACTTATTGTATATACCACTTCACAGTGCTTTTACTGCCCTCCCTAAGTGGTTTACAGAGTCAGCATATTGTCCCCCAACAATCTGGATCCTCATTTTACCCACCTCGGAAGGATGGAAGGCTGAGTCAACCTTGAGCCTGGTGAGATTCGAACTGCCAAATTGAAAGCAGCAGGCAGTCAACAGAAGTAGCCTGCAGTACTGCACTCTAACCACTGCATCATCACGGCTCAAGGAAGTAAGAGAAAGGAAGTAATAGGTATTTATTTATTTAGAAAATTTATTTGCTGCCCATCTTGTAATCAACAACTTTGAGCAACTTACAGCATAATACATGAAAGCATTAAAGACATTAAAATCAACATAGTAAGTGATAGATAAAATCATTGACAATTATTTTTGTTAACCATCTACCTGCACTTACCAAATTTTTGGCTGCTGACTTGAAACAGTGTGACACAGACCTAAACATATAGCTGAGTTTTGTTTTCAGTTGAAATAACAATTTTCCACTTCCATCCATATTACTAGTTCTGAGAAATTCTTTTTTGAACTGATTTTATGCACCTAAATGAAGACACGTAACAGCAGACTGTGACCCAAGAGAGAATGAACATACATTCCATTATTTCTTATTTTGCATCTTGCAATCAAAGCTTTCCCAAAAAGAACGTGGGGGGGAATTGGAATTAGGCTCCTGCCTAATTACTTCTAATTTTCCAATTCTTCTGCTTCTAAACATTTTAATGATTAGAAGTTTAAATCAGTATTTACAATGTAAATTATAAAAAATATGTCTATTCCTGCATTTATTTGTCAGATTTTTTAAGAATTCTGAATAGTCTCAGGGCAAGTTTTTTGCTCCTGTGATTTCAATATCCCTACACTGAATTCTATTCTTCTAGTATTCCATAATAGTATTCCTACATGGGTATTATTCCCATATTACAAATTGGAAGGCAATTTAAGAATTGGCAGCTTTCAAGTTTACATAAGGAACTAAGATTTGAGCTAAGGGTATCCAATTTTAGTTAAGTCCTGGGGGATGTTATACTATTGTAGATTTCACGTGTGGACAAAAAACATGGTATTTCTGTTGGGTATATGGATACTCCAACTGGTTTGGGTTGAATAAATATGTAAACCTAGGATTAAGTGCTATGTAACTTTAAGCACATAAACTGCAATGTCATTGTGGGTGCGGTTGCAGGCAGCCATATAGGTGGAGGGGAAACGTAAGAGCCCCGGCTTCTGGATGCAACTGTATGAGTCCGGCTTCTGCATGCACCTGGTTACTGTTCCAGGTCTGCTGCCTACTGTG